ACGATACAGGAAATTCATGGTTCGGTTCGATACTTTAGTTGATATTTTTTCAACACAAAAAAGAGAAATTTCCATGCCCCTTTTAACTTGTAATTTATTTAATATAATTATGAACATTTGTTTAACCTCAAAAGTACAGTCTTTTAATTAAATATTGCTGAAATAGCAAGTTTCTCAGTGGATCAACGCTCAAAAATGCAGCCTAGGTGGAGTAGTCGAACACAGATCCACTGATCCTTTAACACAGAGCATCTTCAGAAGACAAGTCGATAAAGTAAATTTTTAAAATCTGTATTGTTCGATACAGCACTGTTCGATATGGTTCGGTACGGTTCGATATGGGTACGTGTATTGTTGCACCCCTAATATATACAGTATATAGCTTTTAGATTTATTGTATTTATTGTTATCTATCCAGGCAAATCCCGTGTTAGTGTTGTAACTACCTGTGTTTACTTCGCCACACAATACTGGTGCAAATTGAAAGCACCTCATATCATTCTTCCAGTGTAAGTCCAACAGCAAATATAACGCACAAAGAATGGGTTTAGGAAGGTGCTGAACGATGTGGAATAGCAACATAAGATTCCCTGATGTTCATACTGAACAACCTTTCTGCTCTGCTTCACTCAGGTCCCCTGCAGGTTTTGCACTCCTGCTTCCGATCACCGAGGCACACTCCATGCTAATCATATGGCGAACCATTGAGTGAAAACACTCGACTCTGTTTATGTGTGTGTGTGTCTATATGAATGTTGTGTAAAAGCTTACTTTGTGCAGATCCGTGAGAGCACAGTGCTGTTTAGAAATGCCCACAGTGCGATGTGTCGTTTAGCATGGTTAAACTGGATAATGCCTAATCTTTACGCACTGTGGGAGTGTTTGAGATGCTGGAAGATGACAGGTGGGAGAGTAATGAAGTGAGGATGTAAGGGGTCGGTCGATGCATTCAGAAAGAGCAGAGAAGGTGTGTGTGGGTGTGTGTGCTTGAGAGAGGGGCCAGGTTTGCCTTGTTTTCTCACTTTTTCCTCTGCAGGTCCCCCAGTGAACGTGGCCATGGCTATCGAAGTGGCCAGCATTGATCACATTTCTGAAGCTAACATGGTAAGCTACAATACGTATATAGTTTTACACCCAAATTGTATTTTATCACTTAAATTGACTGGTTTTCTATTTGTATAAGCCTGATTTACTTTATTTCAGGGTTTGAAAGTGCTCACTGTGAATATGTGGGTCACACTTGCTGGTTTGCCAAATAGTTTTACAGAGTTTGCGCATGTAGTTAAAGTATTTCCACATATTGTGAACATTATAAACCCAAACCAATAAAAAACAGAAACAGAAAACAAGTTACTTCTTTATTCTCCTCATTAACCCTTTCTAACTAACCCTGAGACTGCAGATAAAACCCTCTTCCTTCCCCGCTCTGCTGTTCCCGGCAGGAATACACCATGACCGTGTTCCTGCGGCAGAGCTGGCACGATGACCGCCTGTCCTACAATCACACCAACAAGACTCTGGGACTGGACAGTCGGTTTGTGGACAAGCTGTGGGTACCTGACACCTTCATCGTCAATGCCAAATCTGCTTGGTTTCACGATGTGACCGTGGAGAACAAGCTGATCCGCCTGCAGCCCAACGGAGTCATTCTCTATAGCAGCCGGTAGAGACGAGTCTTTCTTTTCAGTTACTGTAACTTTACAGTTTAAAAATTGTAAAAAAAAAAAAAAAAAAAAAAAAAAGAAAATATGGTGTGTTAACTTGGGTCATTTACCTCCAATTGGTCAGCCAGAGGGGTGGCTAGGGTGGCAAATGACACCCCTGGCACTTGATTGGCCACCCCAGGTGCCACTCACAAATGAATGACAAGTGCGGGTGGGGATCACATTTGGCAATAAAAGATGGTCAGTTATTGCTAAAACAAAGTAAATATCAGTTATTCAGCTGTATTATCTAGTGTAGAGGGAAACTATTAGTGTGTGGAGAAAAAAAATCTAAACCAATGAATTAATATAAAAGCAACAATTCCAGCACACTAAATTTCAGCTCAGTATTAAAAATAGCTGAATTGTAGCATTTAGTTTTGAGGACATCTGGGAAACTTTTACTTGATTTTAGAATCTGTTGGGCATCGTTCTCAGCTACTACCGCCACAATAAATTTCAGCTTAATACCTCTAAAAGCTTAAAATAAAAAATTCAAAATGACATGGGGTTTGCTCTTGGCTACCACCTTACCAAATTTCAGCTCAGTATTTCTACAAAAAAAAAAAGAAGAAAAGGCTGAGATCCAACTATTTGAAATTGGCTTTGATGGCCATATTGAATTTTGCATTTACATTCAGATTTTGTTAAATGTTATTCTTGGCTACTACTATATCAAATTTCAGCTGTGTATTTAATGGCTGAAATATAGCCCTTTAGAAAATCAACATTTGTGATTAGCTTATGTTATGGACTAGTTATCTATCGGTGTCACTTGTTCAATCTTAACCTGTGTTGGCCCAGACAACAGGACTCTGCAACGGACTGACCTCTCTTGTTTGATAAGACACTCTTTGAGCTGGGAGCCCTGTGATAGGCTGGACAGTATATTAGGCGATCTGTGATTGGTTATAAGCACGTCATATGATGTTATCATGGTGTATATTATTGGCTGTGTCCGCTGACGTGTCAGCGACGAGCCAACAGAGCTTCCTGATTGAGTCCTGTTTGCCTGTTGCTCAGAATTAAATCATAATTACGACCATACACGCAGACTTTTCTGGCGTTATTCCAACGTGTTTCTGCTTTCATGCGACGACACTTAAACTGGGATTAGCAATCATTCTTGGATACACCACAACAAATTTAAACTCAGCTAGTCTTAAAATGGTTGAAATATAGCCTTTTATAAAATTAGCATTAGCAATTAGCTTAAATTGGGATTAGCCATCATTCTTGGATACACCACAACAAATTTAGGCTTAGCTAGTCCTTAAAATGACTGAATTACAGCCATTTAAATTTAGCTGTGGTGGCCATTTTAAATGTTCAAATCCAGGGTAGTTTTCTTTATTTATATTTTCCCCCTGAGATAACACCTTGGGCACCCCCATGCCACCCCTTGCAAAAAACTCTATCTCCGCCCCTGCGTTCATCAGGTTTTGATGCGGTGTTTTGTTGCATCTCCAGAATCACTTCAACTGTGGCCTGTGATATGGACCTCACTAAGTATCCCATGGATGAACAGGAGTGTATGCTGGACCTGGAAAGCTGTAAGTTCAAATTAAACAGGAATTAATGCATCTTTGTCCACAAACACGTTCAGAAAATAAAGTTTCCACAAAGTGATAGAGAGTTTTGAAACCAAGTGATTGTTCTCCAGTAAATTAAAAATGTTGTCTCGTGTTGGGAATAATCCTACATTGATGCAACTAACTAACACAATATCTGGTTACCAAAAGTTTTTTCTTCTTCTCATGTTCCAGACGGTTACTCTTCAGAGGACATTGTGTATCACTGGTCGGAGAGTCAGAGACATATTCATGGACTCGACAAACTGGAGCTCTCTCAGTTCACCATCACAGATTACCGTTTCGTCACAGAAATAATGAACTTCAAATCAGGTGAGCAGCACTCCTAATATCGCTCAGTTGTTCCAGATAACCCATTGAAAGTCTCCGGCAAGTGTTTTTGCACATCATTTATAATTTTTGAGCTTTAAAGCTTGGCTAGCGCTTTAACTCCGAGAACTTTACTCATTCCTTCTGAAGACTGAATCTAAAACCAGCGTTCGATGGTGATATTCTATGCATAGAAGGAATGGATGAAGAAATGAGGAGTTGCTGCTGGGAAGATGCTCTCTGTAACACTTTATGCTTTACAACTTGAAGCTTTCCCACTATGGGGCACAAGTGAGCAGGCAGGCCTCGCTTATTACCTTTGATGCCTGTGAAGAACAGCGGGGTTCTTGAAGATGGATCATTCTCTCTGCCATTAAAATAGTTGACCTTTTTTTCCCCTTTTCTTTTGTTTTCCAGCTGGACGGTTTCCTAGACTGAGTCTTCGTTTCCAGCTAAGACGTAACAGAGGCGTCTACATCATCCAGTCATACATGCCTTCGATCCTACTGGTTGCCATGTCCTGGGTATCCTTCTGGATCAGCCAATCGGCCGTCCCTGCTCGTGTAACCTTAGGTTAGTCATTTTTATTTTCCCAAAAAAATGTGATCAGTCATGTCATGGAAGAATAGCTGATTTAGTGATAAGTTTGTGCTGCTTTTCAAAGCAGATCCATCAGAGTGATGGTGCCAAAAAAAGGACCACGTATTCTCTGTTTTTACCAGCTTGATGTTCTGAGGGGGAAAAAAGTTCACCCATTCTTGTTCAGTCCTAATTCAATAATAAATAGCTAATATCTATTATTGATTTAGAACTGAACAAGAATGGGTGAACTTTTTGTTGTTCAGTTCTAAATCAATAATAAATAGCTAATATTTCAGTTAAATGACATCCCTGCCTGTCGACAGGCTAAAGGAACTGCAGATACCAACTCACTCTTATTCTTAGATATGATAGGGTCTGCTCGGAAAACTGCTTCGAGTAAATTCAATTTGTGCACATCCTGAAGACGTGTGATAAGAATCAAGCCAGCAGACAAGTCTTTACACCACTCACACATTGCATGGTGCTGCGGACAGCTTTGCAAACTCATTCACGTCTCACGGTTGCCGCTGGACTCTTGTGCTCTTTCCGTATTAAACTTTTTCCAAGATTTGTTCTGTGGTCTAGATGTGAATCAATCAAACATAAACAAAAATACAATAACACTTGCATGTGGTGTTGGTTATGTCTTTTCTTTTAATAATATACGTAAATGTGTTCTGTGGCACATTTGGGAACCTTCTTACTGGGTTAAACTACTGTATCACACCAACAAAGACTGAATGCACACAATATAGAAATGTATTGTGTATAAAAAAGTTTGAGTAGGTCCTCTGGACGGGGTCTTTTTTGTTGAAACATTTCGTCTCTTCTCCAAGAGACTTCTGCAGTCTGAGGAGTTGCGGGTGACCTCAGCCTTGGATCCATCCATACATGTTACCCCTTCGAACGTTTACCTGTTGACCCTCAAACGTTTGTATTTTCATGAAGATGGGGCGGAGATAACAGCGCCTGTAACACAGAGGAGCAGGGAAAGGAGGGTGGGGCGAGGTGGTGAACTTATTTCAAGCAGCAGAGTAGGTGGGAGATGATTATTCAACTTTATTTATTGTTTTATTTTTTACATCTTACAGGCTCTGAGATGCTTTGAAGCTGAGTTTTTGAAAAAGAAAAAAAATCTGTGCGATTTCTCTATATGTCCGTACAACTGCAAAATGAGGAAAATCTGTGTAATTTAGGGATAATCCACGTAAATTAATCTGCACGTGGATCAACAAGTTTAACAGTGATGATTGAAACTGGTTGTTCACAGGCAAAAGAGGACCATCAGCCTAATGGACTCGACACACGGGGAGCGGCAAACGACAGTGATTAATGGCTGTCATCGCAACCAGGGTGAAACCCAACACATGTCGCAATTGCGTGTCGAGTCGCGTCCTTGGGTCACTTGTCTTCAAGAAATTTAATTGTTTTTTTTCTACTGCTTCTTGTAAAGTTTACTGGTGGTTGGCAAAAATAAAAAACGAATGGTGTGTATTATGGGCGTGTAAACTAAACAAAACTTGCGATGCTAATGCTATTATAAAACAAACGCACGCCAAGATACGATTTTGAGGAAAAACTTATCGGACAACTTCACCCTGGTGCCAACAAATTCCTGTAGCTACGGCTACATTTTTAATGTGTACCTTAGTTTGTGAACTTTGTGAATTTAAAACTGGAAAGTTTGACAGAGCTAAAATACTATTGAAAGTGTTAGCTAACTGCGGTGTGAAGCATACTCTCCACTCATTGGTCAGACAATGAAACCCTCGCTGATTGTTTGTGGCGCCATGCAACAGCGACAAAAAAAAATTATTTTCAACTTTCACATCCTGTCGCAAGCTCGCGTGTGCACATCTACATTTACGAGCGCAAAATTTCACATGAAGGAGTTTCACCGGTCACTTGGCTGGAGGAGGGCAAGCGATTGTCGCCTCATCGCACAGGTTCCATAGTAAATAAATGGAGAGAGAGAGAGAGAGAGCGACATCGTCTCCAGTGTGTCGAGCCCATAACGACCGATCTTTGGTGGAGTCATACTCGCAATAACAGCAACAGACCTCCTACTCAACTTTGGTTTAGATTTTTCTACCTGGATTTTTGACATGCATCAGGGCATTGTATTTCATTTGTAATAACCTTTAAGAAATGTACTTTTTTAAACTCTCAGAAAGTTTTCTTCCATAGACTCGTGTCTAAAGTCTCACAGAAGCTGAGTTTGTAAATTGTCTTTCAGGGATCACAACTGTTCTCACCATGACAACCCTGATGGTGAGCGCCCGCTCCTCCTTGCCTCGAGCGTCAGCCATCAAAGCCTTGGACGTCTACTTCTGGATCTGTTATGTGTTTGTGTTTGCGGCCCTCATCGAGTACGCCTTCGCCCACTACAACGCTGACTACAGGCTCAAGGAGAAGGCCAAGGTGAAGGCAAACAAGCTCACCTCCGAGGTGAGGAACTCCCCCTCATCATACTGTTCAGCCTGAGTCAGACAACAATGTTCAGTTTCAGCAGGGGGTTTTGTTGATAATGAGCATGCCTTTCAACAAAGACCGGGACTGGACATGCAGCATAAGTGCTGACAATCACCCGTCATGCTGACCTTCAGCAGGACAACGAATCTCTATAGAGGGAAATGAGAAAATAAATGATTCCCCTGCAGGGAACCATTGTGATTCTCATCTTACTGTCAGCTTCTTTGTTCTTGATGGTGTACCTACACAATCAGCAACTGCGGCTTTTTGTAAAATCCTTAGGAGGACAAACAGATTTCTTGCCAGATTACATGACGAGATGAATAAAGATGAGCCACATCGAGCTTCAGCTTGTTGTAACAATAAAATGATAACACAACGTCAGCAATCACTGTCAGTATAATGTGATTAAAACAGATGCAACCATGAAGCTGATGAAAAACACATAGCTTAGCAAAGAACTGATTTTTAATTGGATCTTTTACTTTCTATCTATCGATTTAGTTTAATTTATTTCACCTATTGTTTATTTGAATAGGGACGTGTCAAGCACTAACAATATCATACACTAAAATATTTCTAGCCTAGGCTCATTTGCAATGCCTAAGATGAGCTTTTAGCAACCTGAAAATAAAAAAGTTCAAAAATTCAGTTTAAAAAGATGAAACTTTACAATAATGAAGGAACATCATGTAACATTTAGGCATATCTTTTAGCCGAATTTAAGTCAATCACTGATAAAAAGGGCTAAAAACTACGGAGCCTGCGAGGGGACATGGGAGGATTTTTTCTTTTGCGTTCCCACGCAATACTTTTGCGTTACCTCATAATATTGTTTTGCGTTCCCATGCAAAAAATTGTTTTGTATATAAACTGAATTGAATCAGACTTTTATTTTGAAATATTCGGTTACCAAAACAGGATGTGTCGCCACAGTTTGTGAAATTGACATTGATGTTGTGTGGCTGCACTGTGTTCATACTTCCATGCGTGGTTGTGTGATATATTCATTTTGAAGCTAAATTAAAGTAGCAGGCTAACTCACTAATGGTGAACATGTGAATGTGTTAATAAACTGGCAGGCACAACAGTGATAAACGACTTTTGTGAGGGAATGCAAAAGGTATTGCGCGGTAACGCAATAGTATTGCGTGGGAACGCAAAAGAAAAAAATCTCCCTGTCCTCTCGTGGGCTCCGTAAAAAACACATCTAATCATTAAAAACTAAAAAGTCGTTGGATTATTTTTACCTTAGAATAAGCTGTTTATATCTACATGGGGAGCGGGTCGACACCGGTTGAGGCCGCCGGTTTGCACCTCCATGTTTCTGCAGTAGCTCAGAAAGGATGAACAACAACCATGATTTCTGGTAACTGGTGTTGTGATTTCCTCCTCCTCTCTGCAGTCGATCGTAAAGAACGGCAAACAGGCCATGGTTCTGTTCTCCCTGTCCGTCACCGGCATGAATCAGGGCGTCGTCGTCTCAAACCGCCACGGCCGAACGCAGCGCCCCACCAGCGAGATCCCCGGGGAGGGCGGCCCAGAGGAGCCCGAGCCCAGCAGGAGGAGGTCCAGGCCGGCGGAGGAGACGACGGAGGACAAAAAGTGTTGCTCCAAGTGCGTCTGCAAGCCCATCGACGCCGACACCATCGACATCTACGCCAGGGCCGTGTTCCCTTTCACGTTCGCCGTGGTGAATGTGATCTACTGGGTGGCGTACACCATGTGAAGAGCTGTAACATAAAAAAAAACTGCTGGAGTTGGGACGTTTTGTTTTTTTGTGCCGGCAGACTGACGCAGCTGACTAAATACTGCAGGGGTCGGCAAAAGAAAAAACTTCAGAAGACGCGAAGTGGAAATGGACATTTGGTAATTAATGAATGTAGTTGAGTTTTAAAACACTTTTAGAGGGGACTTCAAACATTTAAACACATAGTTGTAAAAAAAAGGCAAAGTAATAAACTGCCTGCTTGAGTTTCACGTAAACAGTGAATACGTTTTAATTAAGACCAACTATATGGATGATACAAAAACAAAACAGTCACAGTTAGTCTGACGTTTCTCCGCCTGTTATCTGAAAAAGCAACACACCTCCGAGGAGAGAGGATGACGAGATGAGGGGATCTGCTGTTCTGCATGGCTGATAACTTCTTCACCCACTTCCTCCATCAACGTCACCCCCCCCCCCCCTTCTATCTTCTGTGGTCCTCCACCCAATTTTTTTTGTTCATTTCCACATTTAGGACATCTGGAAAGTCTTATCTCCTTCTGCCAGTTCTGCCTGTTTCCTTGTTATTAAAGGACTTCCTCCTCTACCTGAACGTGTCTCTTCTTGCTGCAAGTGGTCGCTTTTAACCTGAGATTCCTGCGTGCCGGGTTCGATCATGAGAAAAATAAAAGTTTTAAACTCCTTCAGGCAGATTTAGTTTGTTTATGTTTTAATTATCTAAATCCATAATGCTTCTTGGGCTTATAAATAATTGACTTTCCAGTTATTGCAGGTTAAGAGCTGAGTTCTATTAATAATTTCTTATTTGTGTTTGTCCTCTGACTGAACTGGCAAATTGATTTTCACAAAAACTCACGGATGAGAAAGCAGCACTTCTTTTCAGGCACATTGACTTTAAACACAGCAGGTGAAAAAGAAACCCGTGAATATTCTAGAGGTTTTTTTTTATTTTACTGAGGGGCTTACTGTATATGGACCAAAAAAATACAATAATCTAGAGAAATAATCTTAGAAAATAGCCCAAAGTGCAAATTTAATGACAGTAAACTGTGTATTTCCTTTATTTGGCGTCTTTTCTTAGTAATTTCTTCATATTCATGACAAAACCAGCTGAATGTTTGAACTGAACTCTTCTATTTCTATAAATAGTGACATTTGAAGAAAAAAAATTAAATTGGAAAGCGAAGCAGAGAAAATTACTTACAGAATAAACAGCCAAACTCTTGTTTGGCATGAAATCTTAAACAAGTTGTCAGATTCTGTGTGTTTTTATTAATAATCATTTGTATTTTTTTATTATTAGGTTCATTTGTGTTTTTGTGATTCTTGTGTTTTCATTTGAGTTTCCTGTGTGCCACCATAAAACGGTCTAATTCAGAGACCTCTTTTTTAAGATCTTAGGCTTTCTTTAAAGACGTAAAAGTCAAAATTTGAAACCTTCCTAAATGCTTTGACATCTCAAACCTTGTTCAAACGTTCAACAACCTCTTTAAGCAGCTGCCTGAGGCAAAGAACGTCAGAAGACACGAGGAAGCATGTGAAAGGACTACAGATACTTAACTTGGCTTGTAGTAATAAGGTAATTACAAAAGGAGACTAATGACTGCAAATCTTTAAATCAAAAAATGTGAAACAGCACACCTGAACAGACAAAGCATTTTGAAGCTATGAAAATCTAAAAATTTGGATAAAAATAATTACAGGTTTGTTTGGAGGAATAACGCTGAAGCACGTCATAAAAAAGAGCACGTCACCTGCTTTTAAATTCTTCTTTTTCACATTTAAATCTTCAGTTGGGTCTATATAAAGTGGAACTGCAATGCTTTGGTCTGAATTCCTCCTTATTGTAACTCCACAAGCCCCTCTTTCACCCCTTTTCTGAGGTGTCTCAGATCGACTCATTTTGTGGCTGTCTCTTTAAAACGAAACGAGCTGCTTCACACCCCGCCTCTTTCCAGCTTCCAGACCGGTCCATTCCAGTTTGTTAGAGGGTTTTATGACTAAACAGATGCGCAGCCCCCCCCCCCCCCCCCAATTAATTAAAAAATGTCAACAACAGAAGACTTGTCCATCCAGCCTCACTGGAGCCAGAGTCTGACCCATCCAGAGGAGAATGAAGACAACACAAATCTAGTTGGTAAGTACAGACCTTTTATGTCTGTTTCATTGCAAATCATTTGATGTAACAGTTCAGAACATGTAAGAAAAAATAGAGAAAATTGAGCAGATTGAAAAATATGACCTAGAGACTTCATCAAAACGCACGTATTGTTTAAGAAAGTGGATTTTGTATGATATGCCCCCCTAAATAAGAGAAGACTTGAGCTTAAAACAACATTAGAGGTTAGCTTCCAGTACATATTTGAGTTCTTTGTGTCAATATTACTTCCTGCAGCTTCACTGTTTGATTCACCCACTTTGTCTTCATGAACTTTTTTTCCTGGATGCAGCCGAGGATTTTGTTCAGCGATAGAACTCCAACAAACCTCCTGGCATTAACTCGTTGTTTTTGAACAACGGATGGAGAGAATGTGGTTCTGCGGTGGAAGATATTTCTGGAGAGCAGCCGCCCACTCGCTCTCTTTATTCTGATGCAGCAACAGGAGCTTTTTCTTTGGTAAAAGTTTGAGGGCCATCTTGCACCTTGCTTCAGTCTTGTTGCTCCGTGTTCTTGTGTTCGGGGAGCGACGGCATTATCGGGGCCAGCAGTGCGAGGCCAGAGCAGGCGCTGGGTGGGAGCAGGGCAGGGCCGGGTTCTCCCTGAGCAGGGAGTCCGAACGGCTGGTCTCTCCCAGGCAGATAACTTTGTTCTGGGCCAGGAGAGATGACATCATGACGGATAGCGATGAGGCTGTGGGCACAAGGGGCAGGAAACCTTTATCTCCTACGATGGCACCGTGGAGGAAAGTCGAGGGGGATGCAGACACACAAGTACACACTAGATGACGGAGTAACACACTGATACTCAGTCACTCCCCCACTGAACACACACAGGAACACACACCTCTGACATGTCCACTCCAGGAGAAAGCCATTTTATAAAAGGCAAAGTTGTACAGATAGAGAGGCCTACTGTGTGTGACTATCATTGCTTTCTGCCGCAGAGAGTCTGAGGACTTTATTTTTGGAAATTCACAACACTTTAGGTTTGTACCGCATGCCTTTACTTTACCATCTTAGTTTAGTGTCCATTTTTTGTGCTAAATATAGCATTCACAAGTTAATTCTAAAAGAAATGATGGATTTCTGATAAAACTACACCAGCAGCACAGAGCTGTCAAAATAAAAGCTCTTTACAGTACAAGTAAGTACATCTTTCAAATCCATAGAAAATTTTGGGTTGCCCGGTTGTGAAAAAGGTATTTGTATTCCCTGTTTTTTTCTGTTTTGATCTATTCTGTTTAATTTTTCTTTCTTACTTTTTTGCTGCTGGCACAAAAGTACGGAGCCTGTAAGGGGACATGGAGGATAAAAAAAAAAATAAAGGATCCTGACTTACTTTTGAAAGATCCTGCAAAAGTTTCTCAGGATCCTGAGAGACTTTAATCCTGAGAAACTTTTCAGTTTATTTACAGGCTCCATACAAAAGAAAGAAATGTTATCAAATAATTGTCAGCAGTATTTTTAATAGTGGTCATTTTTTTCCTCATTCTTTTATATCCAACAGTTTATAACAGTGAATAATTTATCAGGTACCTGATAAATGAGAACGGTTATTATTTTGAAATTTACAGACACCTTAAAGAGAAAGTATCAAACGAGGCCATGATTTAATCCAACAAATCAAGTAAAAAATGTAATAAATTGCATCTTTTTTTGGCACAGGCTTCACTTCGTCGAGTCGCAGGAGTAATTCAGCTTAAACTAAAGCAAAGCCTCCCAAAGTCGTTAAATATCGACTGCAGATCAATTTGTTCAACAGCTGCTTCCTAATCGCAACTCGCTGTGAATCCCCCCACTGATCTGAGGCTTTTATCTTGTTGACTGACAGCGAGGGCTGTTTGTACACTGACACATCAAGCAATACTTACTAATCACTGAAGCTGAACTGGGGATTTCAAGCGATGTGATGTGAGCAGTCGTACATTTTTTAGTTACTTTTTTCATGTTTGCTGTTTTTGGCAGCATCGTTATAATTTATAGCAAATTTATTTTGCCAAAAAACAAGTAAGTGAATAAATAGTGTTTTTATTAAAATCATTTCTTTATTTAACTTTTGCTGATTGAACGTGTCAGATGGGCTGAGGGGATCTGTGCTTTTATTCTGTAATTTTGAGGTCACAGGTTCGATGTCAGTTACCAAACCTTTTGTTCACCGAGGTGACCTCTGAAGAAAAAAGCTACAGAAAGAACATTTGAAAATGTCAAGCAAAAATGAAAAGCAATGATTTTTGACAAAATAACAAAATCGCTTTTTTTAACAACAAAAAAATCTCAATGCCATGCAGACATTTTTGTGTGAACATTCCAGTAAATACATCAGTGATTTGATGTCCTGATGCATCTCAGTAATCCAGGTAAAAAATCAAAAAGAAAAAAATTGTATAGGTCCTCTGGACGGGTTCTTCTCTAATGAAACGTTTCGTCTCTCCTCCAAGAGACTTCTTCAGTCTGAGAGTTTCAGGCAAAATTCAGGCTTTTAAGCACTGCCTCCATGTGACTGATCCTCACATCACATGGCTATCGTTGACACCTAATTAACACCTATTGTTAACGGGGTGGAGTGATACTGGCAATGGCAGCACTGTAGGAGGGGGACAACTGAAAACGGAGGCCTCCACCTCTGTTTAATGATGGACGGTCTTTCTTCACAAAAATGGCTTCTTTTACTCCTCTCTCAAACCAACGTTCCTCTCTATCAAGAATGAGAACATCCTCATCTCTGAAAGAGTGACCGCTGGCCTGTAAATGAGTGAAAACTGCAGAGTTCTGGCCARTAGADMTAGCTRGTCTGTGTTGGGACATTCTTTTGAACAGTGGCTGCTTTGTTTCCCCGATGTATAACTGGTCGCAGTCCTCCTGGCACTTCACAGCATATACAATATTGCTCTGTTTGTGCCGGGGCACCAGTCATCACATCAGTGATTTGACTTATAATTAGACAAACTGTTTTGTACAATGTCCCACAGCAAATACACCATGACTACACTAAATCATTTAGTAACTAAACACAAAATTGCATTATATTGTTATTTTAACACTGAAGTTACAGCAAAGAAAGTTTCCTAAAGGTATTTTCTGTGCAGGTGTTCTGTGGTTTGCGATGTGTCGCCTCCTGAACGTATTGTTGGCTCTGCTGAGTCGCTTCCTGTTTGCGGTCCACGGGGTTGTGACTGTCTGGAGAGTTGTTGCTGTTAAAGAGGAGCCACTCTATTGGCTGCTGCTGATGGGCGTGGCTCTGCTGGGTGTGGAAATGGCGGTTACCCTTAAATGCACTCCTAACGCAGAGTGGAAATGGTAAGAGTCACAAAAATATAAATACTTACAAGGTTTTCATTTTTGACTCATTAGCTGTTGGAAAACAAAAATCCTGCAGCAGAATGCGAAACATTGTTTACTTTGACATTTTATTTTGGTTTCTGTGAAAATAAAAAGTTTACTGGGTTAAATAAGTTTTGCACTTGTTTCTGTAAAGCATTATAGATGATAGTGGAGCACACTTTAATAGAGAGATTGAAATTGTAGGTAAAACCTAAAACTAGCAAAACAGTGACAAAAAGCTAAAACTAAAAAAGCAAGAAAGCTAAAACTAGCAAAACAGTGACTGAAAGCTAAAAGTAACAAAAATGTAGCTAAAAGCTAAAACAGCATCTAAAAGCTAAAATAAAAAAAATGCAGCCAAAAACTAAAAACTAACAAAAACAATGACTAACAGCTAAAATACAAAAGCAGTTAAAACTAAAAATGAACAAATTGGCAACTCAAAGTCAAAACTAGCTAAACCAAGCTAAAATGATCCAACAGTTACAAATACCTAGCACCATTCCTGACTAAGTTTTTATATTTTATCAGTTAAAATTTCTCAATGTCTGCAAAAATAGTTTTAATGCAAAGAACAAATAGAAGAAACTGCAAAGAGGAACTCAAGAGTGAGAATAGTGAATCAGTTTTCACTATAAACAGGCATGAAAAACCCAGCTGAATATTTACAAATTATTTTATTATTTAAAGTCAAATAATAACTTTGAAAGTTTTGTAACAGAATCCCAGCAACAAAACCTATATTAGTCTTTCTGTGGAGATGAGAGCTTAAACTTTGATTAAAAAGAACATTTTCAGACAGCAAAATGAGTACGGACCAAAAAAAGTCTCTTCCTGTTTCAGTTTTTAATAAAAAAATGTTTCTGAGGGAAAAATGATTGAGAACAAACCAGAGGGTCTTCTATTTCAAAGGCTTGACATAAGTTTGAGGCAGTCTGTTTTGTGTGTGGAGGAGCAAATAACTTGTGAACTCGTGTCTGAGGATGTTTTTACAGCCCGTCTGCCCAGGGCCATGAGCTGCAGCTCGTACCGGGGCCTGTAACACTCTGTGCCTCTAAATTCTCTCCTGTCCTCAGCAGCTTTTCCTCTCCTTCATTGTCTGTCAGAAACAAATCCTTTCCTCCGCTGTCTCACTGAGCTAATATTGTGGGCCTGCCTTCACATCTCTGTCACCGCTCCTTTATGAAGTCTTAGAGAAAATCTCTCCTGCTGGCTGGAGCTGTTTCTGACCAGCTAGTTTTTCTTCTTCTCTTTTTTTTATTAAAAAATAGCTTGAGTCAACATAAACTGACTCAACCCCCCCTCCCCCCTTTATTTTGGACATGAGCATTTACTGTCACCCCTCTTTCAGCACCGAGCTGTGTTTCATTGAAAAGCTGTAACTTTTAGGCACATATGGACTGAACATCCCCAGACACTAACTTTCTTCAGGCATCTTCCTTTCCTCACGGAGTCTTACTTTGAAGTTTGCTCCTCGTGAAGGCTTTGCACTGCCAAGTAGGATTTGCATATATGATGAGAAGAATTGCCTGTCTGAAATACGATGCTTCTTCTGGTGGGGTGGGGGGCAGGGGCTCTTTCGTCTTTAGGCAAAGGAAGTCTACTAAAACTAATCTACTTCACCTTTTCCAAAACCCATCCCTCTCTTTTTGGTGGTCCTCTTTCAGGTTCTCCCCCATGGTTTTCCTCTATCTCAGCACTGTCATCCCGTCCATTTGGTTTCTTGAGCTGAGTCTGTTACAGTCCAAGCTTCCCCTCAATAACTCCTCCAGTCCCGAGCTTCATTTGCTGGCTCACATCCCAATCACAGAGGTAAGCATCCCACCACCGCACTGCCCTCCCCGCCTCACATTACCCCGTAGCCACATTAGAGCGACGCCCGATAACAGATAAGATTTAAATCTCGCAAGAAGGTGGACAAACTATTAGTTGTGGAAAATGTATAATGGACACACTGAGATAAGGTCCAGATAGAGTCCTGCCTGAAAAAAGTCTTAGATCCTCCCTTCTGGAGGTGGTTTCATAACGTCTTTCATGTGGGATTTGGGAGCTTTTCTGCCTCCCGGTTGCACCCCCAGATCAGGTGTCAGATTAGGAAAAATGAGGACAAAATATTTCAGGAACAATCTGAAGCTGGAGGGGTTTTGTCAGTAAAAAAAAAATATTTCCATCATGAGGAGTCAGTTAAGTCAAATGAGTCTAACTAAAAGTGAAAACAAACAAAGAGAAGATTTAATATATATGTATTTTATGTAACTCTGCTCCACTTTGTGATATGAAACTGTCAAGGGACTTGTTTCAATTAAGAAATACACCATGGCAGTTCAGTTCAAAACAGACATAACTGTCAGTAAAATGATGTTAATTTATTAAAAAACTGAAATAATTAAATTTTTTGTCATTGTCTTTAAAAATACTGTCAAATCTTTTGAAAAAAGGGTTAGCTTTTGAAATGACCTCAGTTTGTGGAAACAGGCCCAAATCTTACTTTAAAAGGTGGGAATTTTCTCTTCAAAATGAATATAATAATTAGTGCAGGGGTGTTAAACTCATTTTCACAAAGGGCCATATAAGTGTTATGGTGACCCTCAAAGGCCCAGTTGTAATTAACTAAACACAAAACGTCACGTTCCGTTGTCTCATTGGTATAGCTGAGCACCGCTAACAAACAATAACTGAGCTCTATGGGGTATTTCCTCATAGAAACATCATTTTAACACGTCCTCTTATAAACACTGAACATTACTACATGTACAACCGACAAAATGTGAAATAAATAATATAGAAATACTGTTAAAAGTAAAAGTAAGGAAGTTTTATTGACTGCTGAGTTGTGGTGAGTGGCTGCCATCTCACACAGCAAATCTCACTGGCTAATGTGCAACTCCACCTGGTGTGAGATGAAAATTTTAAAATAAATATAAAGGCATTTTTGGAAAGATAACATTATTAGCATTTTGCAAAATTAATTTCCCGCTGCTGAGATGAACAGTTGTTGAGATATTTGCATGTGAAGGAACAGGAAGTGATGTCAAAGGGGGATGCCTGCATGGATAAAATAGCGAATGACACAGACTGTAGAGAAGAATCTGATGTTTCTTTAGATTATTTGAAGTCACTGTCAGAGAGATAAAGACAAGTCAGAGTTCAAATGATATTGTTTCAATAAATAAAGATTACAGAGTTCTCTTTCTTAAAGAGTTCCCCTTTGATGTCACTTCCTGTTGCACTTTGGCTGAGCCAAGTTCAAAAGAAAATATGCCAGTTATGTGACGAAGTGGGTAAAATCACGTTTTATGCAAAGTTTCTTGTATAAAAATGTGTTTCCTTTGACTTTTCGTATTTGATGGATAGGCAAGTCACAGGCACTTCAATTCATCTTCGAAGTTGTCGCGAGCCACACAAAATGCCATGGCAGGCCACGTTTGGCTCACGGGCCTTGAGTTTAATACGTGATTAAAACGGACAGCTTTATATTCAAGTTCTAAGGCCAGAGAAATTAAATGCCTCTTTGCTGTTTGTTTTCTGCACCAAGATGACAGATTGAAAGTGTAGATACAATTCCATCCAAAAAGCTTAGAAAAATAAAATAATCAAAGCAAACTAAGACTGCTTGTTTTCCTTCATCCAGGGTATTGTCGATCTGGACCCAGAGAACTGGGTGGCTGGCCTGGAGCAGACCATGCTCATAGTGCTGGTTCTGGGTCGTTGGCTAATGCCCAAAGGGGACATGTCTCGGGATCAGCTCTCCCAGCTCCTCATGGTGTACGTAGGACTGGGTGCGGACATCCTGGACATCTTTGACACCTTCAAAGAACCAGAGGTCAAAACCAACAAGGCAGTTGTCGTCACCGGCCTGGCTCTCTTCTCCTGGGCACTCATGCAGTTTCCTCTGGTTCTCACCCAGACCCGGCCCGCAAACGGCGAGCTTCCTCCGAGGATCAGGGGGAGTCTCCACTGCTGTCACAGACCTCCGTCTCCAGTTGCCTCTTGCTGCTCCAGTGAGGCGTGGAGCTTGTTGCTCGCCGTGGGACTCCAAGACGGCCCGTTCCTGGTTTATCGCCTGTGCCTCATGGCGCGAGAGCGGGTGCTCAATCAGCTGATGATTTTCTTCACCTGCAAGAACATCCTCGTCGTCCTGCTGGAGCTGTACAGGATCTTCGTGGTGCAGTGCGAGCAGCAGGTCCGGGAGTCGCTGATGGAGAGCTGTGATGCTCCGCTGCTCCGCTGCCAAAGCCCGAGGAGCGGCGAGGGGGAGGAACGGGAGGCCGGAGAGGGGCACTGCGCGGGGCAGAGCTGTCAGGCGGGCGTGGAGATGGCAGCAGACACAGAGGAAGATCATAGAACTGTCTAGGTAAAGAAAAGGCTGTAAATGTCGCGAGGCATGACTTTGGCCCTCAGGGGGGAGGGAATGGCTTTCACAAGCTGAACCCACCTCCCATCCCTTAAACCCCAGCCTCATTCAGAGACACTTTCGGCTCTCTGGAGATGTGATGACAAGAAACAGAGCGTAAGAGAAGAGAATATCCCCACTAAGACAGATCAGATGTGAGTTTCTGCAGCTCCCTTTGATAAACCCTTTCAAAAAGAGGAGGATTTTCCACTTTATATATCTCACTGACAGCCCCTTTGTCAGTAATTTGATGTTATTACAAGACAGCAAAGACAATACGACTGCTCTGTGCTTTGCAGTTAAACTAATTTCTTTAATTAGCAGTTATAGACAGGAAATATAATGGTTTCATTATCTCTGAGAAGATTTATGTAGAAAATGAAGCTGCTGTGGATGAAAATCGGGAAGTGAAAACATTTGCTATCGTCTATTTCTAATAAAGGTAATTCTAAAATATGACAAAAAGAAGCCCTGTGATGTTTATTTGAAGTCGTTCTCCATGAGATGGCAGTGTTGCCAAATCAACTGGAGCACAACATCAACCCTCCTGCAACATGCGTGATGGCTGGTGGCTGTGCTGAACTTCATTATGTGTTTGTTTTTTGTTGTTTTTTTCACACGGGAAAATCTCCTCCGTGGCTCTGTTTACAGGACAAATCAAAGCGCGGGGAGGCGCTGGTGATGGATACACTTTCAGTCACCTTCAGGCTTGTGGCTTCCCAATTAATAATCAAACGCAATCAATCTCGCGGCACCTTGTGACAAGTGGGCGGAGAGCAAAGAGGTCTGCTTCACTCTTCAGAATTTATTTCCCTCTCGAGCACAATCAGCCCGTGAAGCCTGTCTCGGAACCGAGTGCAATTTAAAAAAAATGGCTGGAAGAAGCACACTCGTGATTATGTGAGACTTGCATGAGTTCAACGGGATTTGCTCTCTGTTTTGAGAGATGGAAGGTGCTTTTGTTAGATTCCTCCACAGCCCACAAAAGAAAGAGACTCTTAAAAAAAAAACTTAAGGACGGAGAAATGTTTGAACTGAAGCCCAGAGTGTGAAGGTTTCTAGCTACTTCACAATGGGGACAAACATCCTCCCCCCACCCCACCACTCCCTTGATCCAAACAATAACTCTCCTGTCAGATGAGGGCTTGGATGCATCCCTTCTTGCGTTCATGGATGACCCTTTTCACTCGGCGTCTCGTGCACTTGGTTGAGACATGTGGGATTGAAGAGCGGCGGATGGCAGTGAGTGGCAATTCAATCAGAGGTCTTTCTCGCCCTGCCCCTGTATCTGTGTCCGTCAAATTGCTGCGCTTCACCTGGCCTTCAGCAGAATGTCAGGAGCTGAGGCGCCGAATGAGTTTGAGCTCTTTGTTTCCAATGAGCTCTTGACGAAAGAAAGACGGAGCCTGAGTAGGGATAAAGAGAACGTTTGTGTGTGTTTTCCCACCCTCTCAAGCCTGACTGTACAAAAAAAAAATGCTCAAAATACGGGAAATATTTTCTAAAACAATGACTGTGGGCTACTTGTAACGGATTTTCTGGAGAGCGCTCTGTGTTTCTTTGGGCTGAATAATTAATGGAAGAGCCATACTTTAGGAGGAAATAATAATGGAGAGTCCCCACAGAGGCTTCAGCTCTTCCACTAATACAATTCTGTCTTAGCTTGTTGTAGAGCGCTGATCACGCTCGGTTCACAAAGTCACTTGCAGGCGAATTACATCACTCAGGGCCATTAAAAGGCCGCCGCTCTTCCTACAGGCGCCAGCAGAGTTGGGGGTGGTGGTGGGGTGGGGAATCCGACATTCATGTGGCAGCAAGAAGCGGACAGCACAATAGGTTGATGAAAGCACGCCTTGCCTGCGAAGAGAGTCCTTTTCCTCCTCAGATTAACTGCATGCTTTAACAAGATTGTGTGGGGATGTGGGAGGATGGGGATGTCAGCTGATCCACGGGCTGCCCTACATAGACAGAACGGGAAGAGGAGAGCGTGGAAACTCAGAGCCTGCAACTCCACCACATACTGATTAAAAAAAAATAACCCCCCCCAAAAAAGAGTCGTCATAAAACAGTAATTTACCTGTATGTTCATGAATATGAAGAGATGCTTTGGGCTGGGGTGTGATTTTCTCGTAAATCTCACCCCTGTGGTAACGTGTCATTTTGCAGAGTGCTGAGTTTTAGTTGCACTTTAGGAAGCCAACATAAAGCATAGATCAGTGTTTCCCAAAGTTGGGGTCGGGACCCAAAGTGGGGTCCCGAAACATCAAGGTGGGGTCCTGAAAAGATTTTCTGAATTAATTACATTTTTGCCTTAGTTGTTACAAAAGAGTGGGGTTAGTATATTTAAAATGGATAAATGTAGTATAAAATATTGTTACTATGCCCTTGTTTTGTTGACCTGATAAAAATGTTTATCATCCAAAAATAGTTGGGGGCACAGGACTCTGCTACTGTTTTGTACTATTTTGTGGGTCAAAAGCTGAAAGGTTTGGGAACCACTGCACTTTGGTTCCCAAAATTGGGCTTGGGACCCAATTATGGGTCATGAAGCACCTTGGATAATCTCCAGAAATCAATTTAAAGGGTAATAAAATAATTGCTGATGTAATATTTTCCCTATAATTATTACAAAAACACAAAATAAGACAAATAAAGTATTTTATTTGTGTACAAGCTGTTTAGATTGTCAAAAAGCCTGTGCTTTTAGGGTTATTAACGAAGTTCATGTACTCATACCAGTAATATTTGGGGTCACAAGTTTTTGCCATGGATATTTTGTGGGTCAGAAGACAAAAAGTCTGGAACCACTGGCATAGATCACTGCTTTCAAAAGCTTGAATTTCATAAAGCAGACATTATAAATGCATCCACTTTGTATTCTTTTCCACTAATGGAAGATCAGTTGTTGGTGTAGAGTTTGAGTCAGTCTGAGAGCTGACCAGAACACAAATGGATTTCTTTGTTGGTGTCTTGAAGAAACAAGAAGGGATGATTACCGTAGATACTTTCAATTTAATTTCTAGGAAAATAAGCTAAACCAGATGAGTTGTGTGTTTTGATAGATTATGAGGGCCAGACCAATTATGAGAATGAAGTCATTATATTACCAGAACAAAGTTATGAGAACCCCTGCACAGAAAATCAGTCTTACCACTAACATGACGAATATTGAGCATCGTCTGAAGTTATACTTTGGTATTATTTTTTAATTGCTGTTTGGCTGAGCTGGTCACGTCAGGTCAATTACTGTATCAAAGCTTTTTCTCTCATTTAAATAACTTTTTTTCCTCAAAATTTTATGACTTAATTTTTGCATTATTTCGACTCTATTCTCATATAATTTTGTTCTTAAAATAAGGAAACCCTAATACTCTGGTGTTGTTTATAATATCAGTACTAAGCTATAATAACTATAAATTTCTTCAATAATATTATCACTTTATTCTCATATTATTATGACTTTATTGCTGTAACACTGATTTTATTTTCATACAACGTTTTCTCATAATACTAAGTTTATTCTCATAATACTGACTTTATTTTTGTAACAAGCTACTATGACTTTATTTTCAAACAACTTTTTCTTGTGATATTATGACTTTATTCTCATAATACTGACTCTATTTTTATAATACTGTGACTTTATTTTCATACAACTTTCTCTCTTAATATTGTGACTTTATTTTCATAATATTTTGAATTTATTGCTGTAACAATGACTTTATTTTCATACGTTCTCTCATAATACTAACTTTATTCTCAAAATACTGACTATTTTTGTAATACTATGACTTTATTTTCATACAACATACTCTATTAATATTATGACTTTATTCTCATAATATTATGACTTTGTTCCCATAACATTGACTTTATTCTCATTCTATACTAGTAATACTGACTTTATTTTTATACTTTATTTTCATGTAACTTTATTATCATATTATGACTTTATTCTCATAATATTATGACTTTATTCCCGTAACTCTGACTTTATTCTCATACTATATTAGTAATACTGACTTTATTTTTATACTTTATTTTCATGTAACTTTATTATCATATTATGACTTTATTCTCATAATATTATGACTTTATTCCCATAACTCTGACTTTATTCTCATACTATACTAGTAATACTGACTTTATTTTTATACTTTATTTTCATGTAACTTTATTATCATATTATGACTTTATTCTCATAATATGACTTTATTGCCATAACACTGACTTTATTCTCACACAACTTTTTCTTGTAATGTTGTGACTTTATTCTCATAATATTATGACTTTATTCCCATAGTAGCACTATGACTTCATTCTCAAACAACTTTTTTCTTATAAAACTATGACTTGATTCTTGTAATTAAAAATATATATAACTCTCGTAGTCTGGCCCTAATAGTCATAGTGTGACCATTTTAGAAAAGAAACAAACTAAAATCCTTTTAAATCCATTTAAAGTTGATTAAAAATGTGTTAGAAACTATGCATCATACAAGAGTTTTAAGTCATTTTGTATTTACATATTGTGAAGCTTAGGCGTAAATTCAGTCTGGAAGACTCCTTCCACCTCACCTGCTCCATCCAATCGCCACGCCTCTCGCCCAGCTGCAGTTTATCAACGTCAGATCCTCGCCCTGTCGTACCAATCATCTCGCCCAGATCCAGGTTATAAGGCCGACATACAGGGTCGCCCGCTCCTCAGACGTGATTGACACAGATAAGTTCGACCCACCTCCACGTTCAGCCTCCAGCTCTTCTAGGCTCCCTCCACTCTCCGGCCTCCTCACCACCACCAGTGTCCGGACCCCAGGGGGAAGACAACAATCCTAAAAAGCTGCTCGCTAGCTCATTAATTAGACTTCTTACAAATTTACTAACAAAATAAACAAAAATGATTGTTTACCCATTTTTGACAAATTTACCACTTACCTGTTTGGCAGAGTGATTTAAACAATTGACTAAATAATCTGCAGACCAAATCTGCTCCAGACGAGCCGTCATACTCGAGTGGATCCATCTCACACGAGAGTGAGGAACGTTTTCACAGAATGTAACAACTTCCCTGTTTTGTGTCAACTAATTAAAAAAAAAACCCAAACACTGAGGACCATCAGCCTCCATTCCTGCAGAGAAACCCATCAACACGCCACCGAAATGTTACAGCTGAGAGTGAAAAACAAAAGCAAACTTCAAATGAACTCGGCGCAGAACTTTCTGACAGGCGGCTGAATTTCCAGCTCAGCACCGCCGCGTGTACCACCATGGATGGAAACTAATGAGCTTTACTTCACTGGTCGTGGATCAGAGACGCTGAATGACTGACTTGTTTTCACAGAGAGGGGGATTTTGAGATAGAATTGACTCTGATAGTGTTCAGCACACAATCCTACACTTTTTAGACATTATGGATTGATGCGTGGAGCTTCTCTCTTGAGAAAGCAGTGCTCAGAAAGCATCTCAGTATTTGCAAATCTGATTTTTTTTGTCCATTTTACCCCCATAAACTTTTATTTCTGCCTGCCTATAGGCAAATGTGGGTAAATTTTAGTTATTTTTTTGA